GTAAATACCAAGCATGAGGGTGAGGAGCCAGTGAGCCAGTGGGGCTCCACATGAGCAACTTGGAAGATGGCAATGCCATTGATCAAGAGAGGAACTTAGGAGTATTTGGGATGGAAGATGAGTTTGATTTTACAAGTCAAATGCGATTTGTCTTTAAGACATATAAGTAATGTGGACCATTTGAAAAAATTTCTAAAAAATGACATGCCACTTGACAACCCACATGGCACCCTGGAAAAGAACATGGTTTTTTGTTTTGTTTGTTTTTGAGATGAGATCTTGTTTTGATGCCCAGGCTGGTCTCAGACTACTGCACACAAGTCTCACAAGCAACTGCATCTATAGGCATGCAACACCACATCCAACTATGTGCATTTTGGAAGGGAAAATGTATACAACGTTCTGTTTGGTACTTTAGGTCTCCCAAGGTGAAGTACACTTTATGTTTATGCAGTTGACATATTTACATATCCTGAATCTTTTATGTTCCTGAATCCTTTGTTATTTTACATTATAAAATGAGGACTTCTTGGAGGAAGTTGGAGCTTTACATGTTGTCAAGGTCTATTAACCACAGATATCTTGAGTTCCTTTTTGAGTCAGTCTTCCAATTCATACCTGTCATTTATTTCCAAGTTTTACTTATGGCCAGTTCCTTCTAGGAAGTGTCTGCAACTGGCACCCATATACATTTTATCATTGTTTTTGTGTTTCGAGATGAATCTCCTTATGTTTCCAAGCTGAGCTTGAACTCCTGGGCTCAAGTGTCCCCTGTCTCAGCTTTCTGAATAGCTGGAACAACAGGTATGTACTAACACACTGGGCGAAGGCGGCTTTTATATCATCTCCTCTAAGTGTCACTCTGTTGGTGATCATTTCCCCCAAAGATTGCCGGAGGAGAAAATGTTTATAAGCATGACAAGCACAGTGCTTGTGGACCTGCAATCAACCTCTGACCATGAGAGTGTTAATGGTCATGCATCTGAATTTCAGTAAGGCACTAGAGTGAGTTCTTCATTATTTTTTCATAGATTGAGTAGAGGACTGTTACCTGGATGACAGTTCAAACAATGCAGATGAAGTAGTATATCAACCTTAAGTGAAATCTCTGATGGCCAACCACGACCTTGTACCTGGTTCCCATTTCCTATACATTTTTTCTAAATCAAGACTGAGTCATGATTTAGATAAAGATGTAACTGACATATTTACCAATCCTACCTTGCCATCATCATACCATCTAAATTCTGGTTTACTGATAAATATTCCAGAAGGTTTCTGCCTCTCCTTTCACCTCTACCCTTCTCTGAAACAAGTTCTTCTCTTTGTCTAATGGGTAACATCATCTTTTACTTCACGTCTGTCCATGGGCGCCGATGCCCCAAGCAGGAAGATGGCGCACTGCAGAAGGCCAGGTGGCTGGGGTGGGTCATGAGGTCAGTCAACACTCCATGGTCCTGTCAGGGTGGACACTTAGGAGCCTGAAGAAACATGGGTATTTTGTATTTTCTTGATTCAATTATGTTAAATTATATGCATCTAGAAATTTGTCCATTTCTTCCAAATTTTCCAGTTTGTCAGCATCCAATATTTCTAAATATTCACTAGTTATCCTATGGATTTTCATGGTATCTGTTGTAATATATCCTTTTTTTTGTCTCTAATTTTTTTATTTTGGATTCTCTCTCTCTCTCCCCCTCCCTTTTGGTTAGTTTGGCTAAGAGGTTACAGGTTTGTGGATTTTGTCTGTCTTTTCCAAGACTCTATTCTGTTTCTTTGGTTATTTGCTTTGTTTTTCTAATTTCTATTTCATTACTTCTGCTTTCATCTTTATTATTTCTTTCCTTCTACTGATTTTGGGATTTTTTTGTTCTAGTTTTTCTAACATCTTGAGACACATCATTATTTTATTTATTTAAGCTCTCTCTCTCTCCCCCTCCCTCCCGCCTCCCTCCTTCTTATGGCACTTCTAGCTATAAGCTTCCCTCTTAGTACTGCTCTAGCTGTACCCCATTGATTCTGGTATGTTGTTTCCATTTTCATTTGATTCTAAGAATTTTTTAACTTCCCCCCAGTTTCTTCAGTGACCCCACCGTTCATTCATAAGTACATTGTTCAACCTATATGTGTTTGTATAATTCCTTAGTTTCTCTCTCTTGCTGTTGATGTCTAGTTTCATTCTGTCATGATTCAATAAGCTACAAAAAATTACTTTGATTTTCTGTATTTGTTAAGATTTGCTGTATGGACTAAAATATGATCTATTTTGGAAAAAGTTCCATGTGCTAATGAAAAGAATGTGTGTTCTACAGCTGTGGATGGAATATTTTGTAGATGTCTTTCAATAATTTTTAAAGCTGAGATGTTTCCTACACCCTCCTATTATCTGAAAGTGTCACTTTGCATCACTGTCTTTACCTCTCCAAATTTTTAAATTGTCCCCTGGCCCTTAATTGTGATGACCAATTGTATTCTGGGATGACCACAATTTTTGTTTTGTTATAGGTAAGTCTGTTACTTTTAGTTGAATGCTTTCAGTAATTATTCCCCAGTCATGTGAAAAATGTCAATAGATACTCCCAAAGTGGGATGGGTACTATAGTCAGATATATTTGGAAAATACTGAGTCATGCATGCAATGCTAAATATGTTCAGTAATCTTAAATTTGCTAATATGTGCAATGAACTTTCAAGGTTTCTGTGCATTTAATGACAGGATCTTTATGAGTTTATGAGACACTAAGGAACAGTTCCTCAGAAGTGTTCTGCAAAGCCCAATTTGGGATACGAGGGGTCATAATTTTATTTATATGTTACCTCTCAAAAAAGCAGAATGTTTCTATGTGTTGGATCCTTTTACTTTTCTGGTCTGAAATTCAGAATTTTTCTTTTTAAAATATTGTGCATAATATTCATAAAATTTACCGTTTGGGGCCCATTCTTAAATACATGGGTTAGGGGCATTAAGGATATTTACAGTGATATTTGTTGTACAAGGATATTTGTACAACCATCAAGGATTCCCCTTTTAAATTCTGCACTTTTTGTTCTTTCCTGCTCAAAAAAACTTTAATTCATTGCATAGCATTTATTCATGGGATCACTTATGAACTGCTGTTCGCTGGTTTGGGAAAACAGGAGGAGTACAGAAGAATTTATTTCTGGTGATTCCTTTGGTTCTCATTTTCCTGGCTTCATTCTCTGTAGTTCTGTGATTCAGAAGAGGTGCCTTTCTACCCTGCATCCTCACCATCTGCTGCCATCACATCCCTTTAACCTGCATTCTCACAGTTTATCAAGCTCATCTTGACAATTTTGCTCTTTTCTGCTTCTCTATGTTCTAAATCATTGTGCTGTGGTTTTAGTTTCTCTGAAATTTTTTTTCTTATTTTACTTATCTCCCTCCTCAGCTTATCTTATTGTCTTTCCCCCTTTGTTTCTTCTCTATGGATTTCAGCTTCATAAATATCATGTTTTCTGTAATCTCAAGATACCAGAAAGATTTTCTACAGTGTGCTTTACCTCCTTTTAAAAATAATTTTCAAAATTACAACTTCCACACCTTCCAGGTGACCGAAGAATGTTTCCTGTAGGCTCCACATAGATTTCCTTTTCTGTTTCCACTCAACTGAAAAAAACATTTATAAAGACGCAGGGGTTTGTCACTGTCGGGACACCTGGAGTGGTGAAAGCACCTTTTCAGATTTGTCTGTAACTGACTGGCAGGTGGAGTTCTCTAAGTCCATTTCCCAGAACGGAGCTGGCATCTGCTAGTGCAAGTCTGCAAGGATAAGATCTTTCCCTCCCTAGCTCAATACTGAGAATAAATAGGGTGGGACACAGGATCAGTTCTATGCTTCCTCGGGCACTGGCACTGGGGCACTTCCTATTGCCAACACCACCCCAACCCCTTTCCCGATTTTGCTTTGGGCGCTGAGCAGATGCCATGGCCAGGATTGCCTTGCTCTCTGCTTGTATGTTTCCTGTGAGCTGCAGTTTCCAAGTGTTGCTGTTTAGAGAAACTCAGAACAGGAGGAGCAGGAAGAGGGATAAACTGCAGCATTGTGGCTGCCACAGAAGCCCTGTCCTGGTGGTATGCCAGTCACTCTGCTTTTCAGTTGTTGTAAATTTGGATTTGCACATGTGGATAGGAGGTGAGAAAGGAGGAAGGGTCAGGGCCCCTGGCATCCAGGGGGACTGGGCATGAGGCTCACTGATGACATCTCTTCATCTGGTCCCATCTGTTTATGAGCTTGTAGACACTCCTTCACAGTCTGTGAATAGCTTGAATGTGTGTCCTACTTTGGGAGATTTTGACTCTTCCTGCTTCATCGTTGGTCATTTAGTGAGAAGCAGGAAGAGGCTGTTGGCAGACAGCATTTCAAACTGAAAAGCTATAATTAACTTCTTGACTTTAATGGTGGGAAAAACCCATTAAATGGTTTCTTTCCTGATATTAACAAGAATGCAATAACACAGTATGCAACAGCAGAAAGCAGCTAAATTCTGGATAAAGAAAGACACAGTTTGAATCCTGTTCCCTATGTACCTGTTGCTTGACCTTGGCAAGCCAGGAAAGTATAAGTTCAACATCTCTCACTCCTGAGTCCATCTGTGTAGTCTCTGAACAATTAGAAAGGTCAATGCAAGTAATTACAAGTAATTTGGAAACTGTACTTGTTCCTGGTTACTGTTACTCAGAGTGTGTTTCAGTCTAGTATAGTGGTCTTAAGAAACGGTAATTATTTAAAAAACTATGTGTGTGATCCATCTGAAGACTGCTTCAACCTGTGTCCAAAACCAAAATAATTTTGCTTTTCAACTAAGTCTCTAAGTATTAAAGATCAAAAAGAAGGAGAAAAATTTAGGGGAAGAGTGATCATAATACAGCAATGCCCGAACTTTAACATGTAACACCTTCATATAGAGTGTAGATTTTACTAGTTTGCCTGAGTAGATTACCATATGTCCCAAATTTGCCATAACAGGTGAAAAGCAAGTATAATTCAAACAAGTTATTTATTTCAAGTTCCATCAGTTTAAGGTTTGTCAGGAGTTATTACATAAGTGAATACTGAAATCAGAAATGAGTTCTCACAGCAATAACATTTGTAAGAAATGGTTAATATCTACATGACTTTGATTTAAAAGATCCAAGGTATTTCCATTATTTAGAATCCATGAGGAAAGTTTCAAAATCCAGATCCAAGTCAGAAACAAGGGCGTTCACAAAGTCATCAATAGAAGGACACTTCTGAAGCATACCTGCAACCAGAGGAGATAAGCACCACATTATTGGGGGACACCAGGAGGGACAAGGACATGGATTCAAATCAAACGCTCTGGCTTTTCAGGAGAAGATTTGGCTCTGTAACGTGACTATGAGGCTATTTCATAAAGCCCTGGGTACTATGAGGGCCCTGAAGCTATTTTTTTTTTTTATTTTAAAGCATTTTTATTCTTTAACCAGTACTTAGCTTACAGATTTAGGCCCAAATATATTTCCCAAGACTTTTTGTTACTGAAGCTGTCGTTAGCCAGTTGGAATGATGTTAGAAGACTGAGTTTTCTAGTTATGTTTGACTGGTATGATTCAGAATATAGTAAGTTTAATTACTTACTGAGTTTTATTACTGAGTTCTACACACTTCAAAACCAATCAAGTGTAAATCTTACATCAGAATCAAGTGACTGGCTTTCCTCCAGGTCCCTGTCTTAGAGAACTCATACCTTTGGAAATTACTAATTGTGTAATATACAAGTCACTGAAAAGCCCTGATACTCAAATTTCCTCATCTGATATACACCGTTGTTATAAACTAAGAAGGAACAAAAAGCAACAAAGCGCTGTCTGGCAAATTAAATACAAACCTCAATTTATCTATGTTCTTCACTCCAAGGAAGTCAAAGGCAAAGATTCATGAAACCAATCTTGTTGCTTCAATCTATATTCTTGGTTTCTTTAAACCAAGGACTGAAGAGGCTCTGTACTGACATTTAGTTTGAGGGATCAATCCTATAAAACTATTTCCAATACCAAGACTTTAAAATATTGCCAGAATATTCTATTTTCCTATGTAATCTCTGAAGCAATTTAATAAATGGGAATTGAATATTTGCTGGGTGTAAAGGCAAACTGCGAAAGGGGGTACCCATGTGGGGAAGTTAACTTATACTTATACTTCAGCTAGGAACTAAAATGTAATGGTTACACACATCAGTGTAAAGGATAAAATTATGAAGTGTCTAGAAGAAGTGTCATAGAATATCTTTGAGATGTAATAGTAATGTTCTATATCTGGATAGTGATTTGAATTATATAGGTACGTACATGGGTCAAAATTAATTGACTGGAATGTTTAAGATTTGCGCATCTTGTCTAAAAATTTTTACCTAAAAAAAAGTAAACAAAAATCAAGTGCTAATGAATGCATTATGTGCCAAAGTGTCTAGTGGTAAAATGTATTGACATCTGCTACTTACTCTGAAATGCATTAAAGTATATGACAGATTGATGGGCAGATAGAAGGAAGAACAGATATAAATATTTCAAAATGTTATTATATTGAATTTTTATTTTATAGAACCCAAATGGCAAGCATTTGAGTGTTAGCATATTATTCATTCAACTCTGTCAAATGTTTGAAAATTTTCAACATAAAATTTTGGTAAGAAGTGAGTTTTGGATGTTAACAACATAGTCATTGGGAGAATAGACTGTTCCAATGGGGAGATTCAGGTTTGTGAAGATGAGATCTGAGCAGAAACTTAAAAGTTGAGGAGGATTTAGATTGAAATTTGGGTCTTTTAGGGAGGGTACAATATAAAATACAAAATGTCTGTTGGACACAAAGTTACTGGCTTTGTGGTGTGGTTAGCCAAGAACAATCTGAGCTCTGAACCACTCACCAATGGGACAAGAAGGGTAAATTGAGCTGGGGCACAGGAAAAGCAGGACAACAAAGAACAACTGCTTGCCAAATTTAATAAGCAAGGGGATGCTCCATGTGGAGATGTCCAATCTGCAGATGGCAGTGAAAATGTAATGGTCTGAGGAGAGTCCGAGTCTAAGACATGGATGTGGTCATTCCCACCAGGTGGTGTGTACAAGACTGGAAACAGGCCAACATAAAAATGGTAGCTCTAAATCCATACTCGAAAGCCACTAACTAGGCCTAGTGTAGCTGACAATAGCAAGAATATTATAATATTTTCAACTGCAGATCAAAATATTTTCATCCTCATTTAAGTTCAAATTTTAATGGCTCCATCTTAGGAGTTAAGCAGAAGTTACTGGAAGAGAATATCATTGCCATGGCTTAATTTGTATTACTAATGTTCAAAATGCAATTTTCTTTTACACAGTAAAATAATTCTTATGGATGAAAGCAGGTCTCTCCTTTTATCCAGATAAGTGACTAATGAGGGGAATGCTGGTTCTCTGATGATCACTCAGGTTGCACATTTACACTGTACTTTCTAGATGAAGGTTACGTAAGTAGACTCAATCTGATTATAAATCAGTCTTTGCGCATTTCCTATGTGCCAGGTTTCTTGATGCAGAGCATATTTGTGGAGAAAATATTTAGACAGGGCTTTCAGTCAAATGTGCTAACCCATTATACCGTTTTCTTCCTTTTAATATTTGAAACATTTCTATAATTACAAGACTGGTCGTTTATAATTAAATGACTAGAACTGTCAGAAGGTAAAACCATTTATTCGGAGCCAACCTATTCAAGTAAGTATGACCCTCCTATTCCTTTGAAGTGGTTCACTTCAAATCAACCAACTGCCAACATAAATATGACCTTGCTTTCTCCTCGGCAGACAGATATAACTAGCACGCTTCCTACTCCAATTTCCCATCTGAACCATTTCTGCATTTTAGAGAAGAGAGACTATGGTAACCTGAGAAAAACACACTTGTAGTCTTTTCTCATAAAATATGGTGAGAGCTTAAATGGCTTGGTAATTTTATCAGTGTGATTGCTAACGATGAAAGTTGCAAAAAGGAGATCAGGACCTGAGGGGAACAAGAATAACAGTTAAGTACAAAAATTCTCTGGGTACATTGTTACAGTAGCCTCACTCTGATTAGATTTACATGTTTTACAAGTGTCAACATGAACAAACACCAACACAGAGATTTAAAAGAAAAATCCAATGTTTCAGGTAGTTCCACAATAAGAAAAATTGAAGTTGGCTGGTATGTGTATAGTCAAAAAAAATTCTAAGAACACTATGTTGTTTTTTTTTTAAAGCTGAAAACGATATCCCCTTTGTCTACAAGGTTTAGTTTTAAAATGGTGATAATTAGATTTGTACTTTCTTAGGACCTTCTTGAGAATAGATTGGAGCTATAACTCTGTAAGTGGGTGGAGGTGGCAAATGTATTTATTTCATGGAAGAAACAACCCAAATTTCAGGGGAAATGGATGTGTTTTTTTTCAAAAGGATTCACAAAAACAACTTCACAAATGGAAAGAGAAATGTGTCAACAGCAACAGAAGAAAAGCAAAACTGCAACAGGACACATGTTGCCCATATTAGTTTGTGAAAAGGAAAATAGTGAGTTAAGTTACATCTAGTCATCCTACTCACAGGGATAGATAATAAATAATTAGTAGTTAAAGAACTACATTCTTACCGCTCATAGTGGTGTGTTTCATAAGCTTCAAATACAGGGTGACTATTGTAGGCCTGACTAAAGTAAATTATGATGTCAAATGGGTTTCAAGACTAACTCTTGAAGCAGTTAAGGTTCCCAAGTTGCACTGTGTGCTACTCCCCCAAGTGGCTGTTGACAGGAGCTCAAAATAGAGTGGAGAGAGATGCCACCTGAGGGGACTAACCTAGACAGCTGGTCTAGAAAGAGTTTGTCAGAGATCACCATCTGTACCACCAACAAATGACTAGAGCTACTTACAGCGTGTTTACTGAGTGCCAGGCACTATACTAACAGTGCTAACTCACTTGCTCCTCAAAGTGCACCTGTGAGGGACCCACCTCACAAACAAGATGACAAAGCAGTCATACAACTCTTAGGTTTGTTTTTTTGTTTTTTAACCCTATCAATTTGATCCCAGATCCCATGCTCTTTAGGAACTATGATATATTCCTCATGCATTCAAATTCTATAAGATAACATACATACATAAATATGATCCATATTTAAATATCAGCATTCTTGTGTGGAAAAATACTGAAAAAAAATCCCCTTGTTTCTGCATGATACCCACGACCCTATGTAGCCAACTTATTCAGGGTCCCCTTAAAGACAACCAAAATGCTCATTGGTTCTTGAACAATTCTGTTTTATAGCACACATTTTGAATAGAAACAAATTGGATTCTGCTGGGAGGGCAGCAGGGGTATTGGCTTTGCTCAGCCGTGTATCACTGGGACACTCATGGACAGGCACTCACTTCATGACATATCAGAGCACAATGCTCTTAACCTTGATTGTGGCTGGAGTTCTGGTCTTGGCGTGATACTGGCAGAAGTGGTGCCTAAGAGTTTTGCACGTAAGGATGTTTTCTGGGTGGCCTCCAAGTAACTGTGGCAACTCCTTGCAACAGAAGCCCTTACATGTTTAAGGGGCTCCTATCTATGCATATTTCCATGCTTCACCTAGAAAAATTTCTGCCAGCTCCAGTATGAATTCAATACATGTACAAAGCTGCAAGTGAACGCCCTATTATTGTGTAATACACCAAATAATCTAACCAGACCTCCATTTAAAAATCAGCATGATCATGGCCTGAACTCTTTAACTCCTTAAATGGCCTTTTGGATGTATGACTAAATATTACTTCTTACAAACATGATTGAGAGCAACTGGTTGGCAGTTTGAATATGCCTCTAAACCAACCCTGCAAAGACACAATCTTGTTCTGGCTCCCTTAACTAAGTGCCTGGGCTGAAATAGTTAGTGTATTGTTTAATTTTTAAAATATAGGAGATTGCTGGGATAATTAAAAAAATATTAGAATTATTTTAAGCCTTGAAAAATAAGTAAAAGAATTGCATCTCCTCTCTGAGTCTATTTCATATATTGCTTAATACCAACTAAGGATGCCCAACAAAATAAATATGATTGAGTTTGATAAAAGTTTAGTAAAAGATGAAGAAGGATCAATTAAGTACTACAAACAGAACCTTTATTAAGGGCTCATCCATTCATTCATTTCTCTCTATCAGTACCTGAGTGCCTAATGTGATTTTTAAGCTGGCAGGAAAAAAAAAATCACACATTATTTATG